TTATATATATAGTTTACATAAAAACAGACTTTGTAATTGAGACATTTTTGATAATTATAGATAATTATATACATATATAATTATATATGTAGTTTTAAAATGTATTGAATTTTATTTGTTATATAGCAATATACAGTATTTTAATATAATGTAACAACATGTAAAATATATTTAATAAAAATAAGTATTTTATTAGGCTATATATTACATCATAAGGTTTATTTGTAATTTATTTTAATATATAAATTTGTAAATTATACATATAATAATTTTACACACACATATATAATATGTGTGTGTGTGTGTGTGTGTAAATATTATTTGTAATTTCTTTTAACATAAATTTGTAAATTATATATATAATAATTTTACACACACACACATATATAATATATATGTGTGTGTGTGTGTAAATATTATTTGTAATTTCTTTTAACATAAATTTGTAAATTATATATATAATAATTTTACACACACACACATATACATATATATATATATAATATGTGTGTGTGTACACACACGCACACACACACAATTTTACACATATTATTAGTCTTGTATTGCATGGTTTACATGAAGACGGGGTTAAAATGTTCCGTATAAAAATAAAGATTACACTAAAGAAATAAAGATTAGTTTTGTTTAAATGTAAATCCACTTCGTCTACATACGTTTTTTGCTCACAAATAGGAAAGCAATAAAAAGCAACTTTTTCCAAAAGTCACACTCGGTGTGCTATTTTTATATGTATTAATATTTTTTGTTCTATTTTGGCAGCCACGCACAGCATGCTCAATACATTTCTTCTCACCTGATCTCTGCTATACATGCGATCAGCACCAGCACTGCGAGTCCGTGAGCCCGTGAGCCAGCGCAGCGCAGGCTGGAGTCTGCCGGCGTCCGCCACGTTCTCAATGACAGACACACATCCGATGAACACGAAGAAAGCGGTCCCCAGCAGCTCAGCCACACACGGCTGAAAGAGCCGCTCGAACAGCTTCGGCTCTCTCGCATCATGCTGTCCCATCTTATCCACCAGAGCTTTCTCCATGTTGTGAAGCTCCACTTTGTCTTCAGCCATTCTTTCCCTCTGAGGCACGAATGCATCTCCAGACTCCAGCGGCCTTCTCATCATGGGAGTGAATTGCTCAATGACCTTTAAGGGCAATTGATGATTGAAAAGACTAATCATAAACGTAAAATGTTGACCTGTGGTAAAGAATACATAGGCCTAAGGAAATTAAAATGGAACATTGTGCACTCAGCTAATTTAGACGAGAAACTACTTCAACACCAGAAAGTTTAACCCGTGCTGGTTTTATAGATTGCAAGGAAAACTACAAACACGTAGAAGTTAAACTACCTGAAACTAGTCTTAATAATTAAAATGATTCTGTTCTGTTAGTTGTACAAACACAGTCCGTTATGCCGCGTGACACTCCAAACTGCTATTTGTTGTCATTGTATTTTAATTCATTATAATCATAATCACACTGATTTGTAGCGTAAATGGTTTTGCCATTTGCTGCACTTTGTTATTCTTAGTTACTTAACGAAACGGAAGTCTCGCAGATTCAAAGAAATGTGTTTACTTTGCTCACGCGTTGCAAAAGTCTTGTGTGATCGCATTTATATTTGTAATTAGCCTATGTAAATTAACCTTGTTCTGCAGCAAGAGGTAAAAACATAACATAGATCACTTTACATTGTGGCAAGGAAATGGAGAATTTTTGGCCACTAGGTGGCAGCAGACAACTTTAATCAAAGTCTAATCAGAATTAAAACTGACCGAAATTTCAGTATGAACGCTTATCAGTTCGATTTAAATACAAAAATGTGGTTTAAATGTGCAAGGATTATTTTGACTTGCTAAATGTCAAATTGCTTACAGTTTACAGTTTATCTTCATATTTTAACTATAGTACTTTAGGCTACTTGATTATCCATACATAAAACATTTTCAAATGTGATACATCAGGCTTTCGAGGGACGTTTATTTGTTCCTCTCAGTCATCGTTGTATTGAATTGCATTATATGTTTGACCCCCAAAATTATAACTAGAGCTTTGATCATACAGCTGAGCTTTTAAATATCATATTAATTATATGCATTTTTAAGCAGTCTAGTCTGTTCTACTGTTATGAAGATCTCATTAATTTACAACTTACATTACAAACTATCAAAATTGCATCTTAAATTTGGCCATATAAATATCAACAACTGCAATAAATTCCATATTTTTGCTCATTTTGGTCCTCTGAATTTTTTGTTTAAGTATGAGTTCCATATTCTCCTATATCATACTATATATCATATAAGCATGTATCAAATATATACAACTAATATTTGGAATTTGTCTAAAAGTTCAATGATCTGATTATTATTTCAAAAGTCAGGCTTTATAGGGTTAATTCAAGAGCATTTTATGCGGCAGATAATTCCCTAATTTGTGTTAGCCTATTTGTTTTATGCATAAGCATTTATTTCCATATTTGCACAAATTTTCTTCTAAATCTTTTTTTTTTTTTTTGCCCAATCTGCACCATTGGTGTTGCTATAATAATAAAACATTAACCCTTGTGCGTCAATTAAAATCAATTAGTTACACACAGGTCCATAGTGGACAAAAATGTCCATGTCAAAAAAACTGTCATAAAAATGTGAAGCTTGGGAGCACAGAGTTAAGTTTGGTCTCATTTTTAAGAAGACCCATGGCAGATTATTGTTGAAGTAAAAAAAGTTTAAAAAGTGAAACCAAAAAAAAAAGTTCTAGATGTTTAGGTTTATGAACGATGTTTTATATAAAATATATATTTTATGAAACATGTTGAACTCTATACCTGCTAGAAAATCAAAGCCATACATCTAAACAAGTTGTATTCCAAATTTGAGGTTGATATCTCAAAAAATTAGCTTTCAGTAAGATTTTGTTTGGGCGCAGTACCAAATTTTCCCCATTAGATGCCAGCAAAACTCTGCTGGTGCACACAGTGGTTATATTTGTGATTTGCAGTACAGTTTTTCTCTCTCAAATATTACAAGAACACACACGCACACACACACACAATTTTTTTTTTATGACACACATACAAACCCCACTCTGACATCCATACCAACACACCCACACAATTATAGCTGCATTATTTATCCAATTGGCTCTATAATATGAAGAAGCAGAAAACAAATAAGGCGAGTATTTTCTTTATAGGTCAAACCTGAAAAAATGGCACCATCTGGTAAAAAATAGTAAAAAATGTAATTTTAAAGCCTTGCCAATATAATGAAAGCCTATATCAACAAAAATTGCATAATTTTACAGTTAAATGGCACTGCGATTAAAAATAGCAGTTTTAATGGGTTTCCATGGGGACATTTTTGTCCTTAAGGTCCTGAGAGTAACATTTTTTTGTACCTAGTGCAAAACAGATTTATTAAAGGAAATGGAAGTGAAATAGTAAAATTCCAATAAAAATACACACCTGTGCCAAAATGTATGCAACCATCTGGTAAAAAATAGTAAAAAATTAAATTTTAAAGCTTTGCCAATATAATGAAAGCCTATCAACAAAAATTGCATAATTTTACAGTTAAATGGCACTGCGATTAAAAATAGCAGTTTTAATGGGTTTCCATGGGGACATTTTTGTCCTTAAGGTCCTGAGAGTAACATTTTTTTGTACCTAGTGCAAAACAGATTTATTAAAGGAAATGGAAGTGAAATAGTCAAATTCCAATAAAAATACCCACCTGTGCCAAAATGTATGCAGTTGGCAATAACACAGGCAAAATGATAAAAAAAAAAACCTAAACTGAAAAGGACAAAAATGTCCAAAAGGTCGCACAAGGGTTAACTCAACTTTAAGATTTAAGATGGGGTATTTAGTGCATATGTCTTCGACCATGTGACAAGGAGATGTACGGTCAACTGCATGTTTAAAACGTATTCGCTTTCAGCTGCTATTGTGCGTCGGACGGAAGATGGCGCTATTACACAGAAAAATAAATAGGCCTGATGTAACTTTATCACACACAATGAATGGCTTTAAATGGAGTGAATTGTTATTTAGAACATTTTGCAATAAAAAACGACTGTTATCATAAATCTGAGCCTAAAACATATAGCCTATCCACAAAGTGTTAGCCATCTGATTACATAAAGCAGAGTGTTAACTGTTAACCATCCAGTTTAATCAGAATACTTCAGTCAAGGTGTCATGTGTCACAACCCACTGCGCTCCACAATAGGGAAGTGAACTGCACTTCCTATTTCCTCAGCGTTACTGCTGTCTACTGACTAAACCAGAAATCGAGAGGATGAGAAACGAAAGGAACACGTTTGACGCACGGTTTATAAATGAATATGAGCAGTAAATGACACAGATTGTCCGGTTCGGATCCAGTTCTGCGCGCGTAATGGGAGCGTCGCGCGTGCGGGCGGCACGTTGATAAAACAGCGACTTCTGTAGCCTATATAAGTTTTATATGTTGCTGGCTGAAGACGATTCAAGATGAAGAAACAGTTCAACCGCATGAAACAGCTCGCCAACCAGACCGTTGGCAGGTTAGTGTGTTATATACTGATTATTTCGAATGTTTCTACTGTGGTTCGTGTAAAAATGTTCACACCAAAGTTGGGAGTGTCACTGTGTGTGCGCGAACGCAGGACTGAATTGTGATAAAACTGAAGTGATAATATATCACTTCAGTTTTATAAATTACACGTGCTATTGGGTCTTGACACGTTATTTTATTAATGAGACCGCTATTGTAAAGGTATGTGTTTGATATTGCGTGTAGAAGTTTAAAGAGTCTCCTACTGTATGTGCATTACTGAACTGGACTGATAGAATGAGATTTGCATTCATTTGGAGTTTTTGGTCTTCTCTCTTTTATATTAACATCTCTATCAGGATCATCAAACATCTATTTGATTGAAATAATAAATACAATTATGATGATGTAGCTAGTATTCAATAATGTGAACTTCTAATTTAACAATAATTAGGGATGCACCAATAATGAAAAATTGACCGATATATGGGTCCAGTGATATTTATTTTCAAGCTGTGGACAAAACTTACAACTTACTTGATTTATTTCTTTTTTTTTTCTCTCTCAATTTCAAATAAATGTTTTGTTGTTTAAATGACATCACCACATTATAGTTTTAAATATGGATAAATAATAATTTTAAAATTAATAATGAGAAAGTAGAGGTTATAGTGCTCTTGAAGAATTAAATATAAATGTAATCTAAGATCAAAAAGTAGCTGGAACTACTTGCCTTCTTACTGCAAACTGGGACATCGTTAGTTTTAGTTGATCTCTGCAGATCTCGAACAATAAACTTGCTCAGAAACAGTAAGAGGAAATTTGAGTTGTCTTGACTGGTTTCCCTGCAGAGATATTTTAAGTGCCTGTCAGAGAATGAAAGTCTTAAATTGCCTTGCTTTGCATATTTGCTCTTACGAGGGTGAAAGGGTTAAGTAAGGTCAGAATATCTTAGATGCTTTTCACATTGAGATGCTTGTTTTTTGCCAAGAAATTGTCTTTATTTACATTCACTCGTCTTTTGCTGTGAGTTAAGCATCTCAGGCAGCCGCTAGATTCATCACTCGCTTGTCACAGTCTATCAGAGCGTCTGATGCAGAATGCAGATCTGGGGTAATCCAGAGTCGGAGGTATAATAGTCAGGCCAGCTCTCATGGCAGCTTTCCAGGCCAGAGAGACGCCACGTTTTGATACAGTCGGTTAAGTTACGGCCCCAGTTAGTTTTGCCTCCACTGCAAAAGGAAACACCATCAGAGATTTTACAGTGATGAAGTACATAGGACATTGCTTGGTATTCATTTGAACTTGGGCCACTTTTAGTCATTGATTAAAAATGATAAATGTTGTAGGTGATGCTGCATACTTTAGTGAAGTTTTGAACTTGGAAAATGTAAAAATCTAGCTGGAAATGGAATTGATTTTGTATCAGATGTGGCATAAATGCACCAAAAATACACAGTTGCATCCAAAACATCGCACCCTGGTTGCAATTTCTAAAACTGTGTAATTTCTTGCTAATTTTGTGTTTCTGTATGTATAAATCACACAAAAATGATGGTGCAGACAGCAGGGCTGTATACTCATCAAAACTGTCCATTTAGATCCAGGATACTTGTGCTTTTTAAGCATGCTGATGAACATAGAATTTCCTTCTTTTCCTGAAACCAAAACCAGATGTTCAGTGAGCTGGTCAAAAGAAAATCGTGGCAAGAGGCACTGTGTCTACATGCTTTATTATATGTCATTGATCTTAGTAGTTGATCTAACAACAGGGAACATTCTTAGAACTTTGGCTAACGTTCTGGAAAGGTTCTCTCAAAAGTTCTTTCAGTAACATTAATAGAATTTTTAAAGTTATCTATAATGTTCTCAAAATGTTAGCAAAAAAATGGGATGGATACATCGTTCATGGAATGTTTTTTTGTGCACTGTTTTAGTTGGACGCTCATCTTACTACTTTCGAATGTTCAGAGAAACGTTCCCATTGTGTCTGCAAAATAATCAAATGGAATGTTCCCTTAAAGGGGTCATATGATGCTTTTTTAAATATCATTATTTTGTGTATTTGGTGTAACAGAATATGCTGACATGCTTTAATGTTTTTTAAAACTGGATGACATTCAGAAATAATGTTTTCATAACTTAATTAGCAAAACGTTCTTACAGTATATTTTGTTAGCTAACAGTGTTTCCTCTGAGAGCTGGAGTTGGAATTCGAGCAAGCGGGTTTGTAGATTTGTTTTTTGAGCAAAAATTTAGTCATCAGTAATAAAAAGGAGGTGACAATATCTCTTTTGTTGAATGACCAAATACCAACAAACATAATCTGGAGAGATTTGAATCTTTTCAGATAAACATACCGCTAATTAAACCCCTTGTTTTGTAGGGTCAAATGTTTTTACTGAACTGAAAAGGCCTGCAAAGCTCTGAAATTATGCAAGATGCGAGCTGCAGTACTGTTGATCAGATGCTATGTTTACAGTCAAGGCTACCAGTCAGATCCTGCTTGAATATGGCTAAAATGTTTGTCGTAATTGAGCATTATGCCTTTATGTTAGTGCAAACTAAAAGGAAAAAAACAAAGTGTGAAATGGTCAGCGACAATTAATCATTCAATACTTGTGCATCCATATCAATAATATGTAGCAAATAGAATTTATTTATTTGTTTTTGTATACCAATTAACTTCTGCTTCAATATGGTTTTGAGTTATGCATTTTTATGTGTGATTTCAAATCTAAAGAAAGCTTGACTACATAGTTATCTTGTGCTGAATAATGCATACTCCTAATTATGATGCAGTTTGTCTTGTATTCAGAATCAGATTGACTTTAGTGAGCAATCTTGTTCCTTAAAAGACATTTAGATAGATCTTTATAATAGCATGTTGTTTTCTCAACTTTGAATGTGTGTGAAATGTTAGCTGAGGTATTTCTGGAGGTTGACACATAACCCGATATGCATTTGCTGAACACAGGGTCCATGCTAATTCAGTATTGATGGAAATCTAAAAATTCCCTCCTGCCAAACGTGAGGTCATTCTCAAGCCTGTGTAACAGGATCTTTTCTCTTGTTACATGACCAATTTTGTGGCTTTTCTCAAAGTTTTCTGGACTGCATGTGGATGGAGTCTCTCTTGTTATTTCTCGTGGGTTCTCTCTTTTAGAAAAGTTGTTGTACATGGCATTTAACAACGTCTAATATCTGTCAAGAACTTTAATATTGATCTAATAATCCAAAATAATCACCATGGTGCTTGACCTTGAGAAAGGTCCCTTTACCCTGAGGGACTGTCTGTGTGTCAGTTCATCACATGAAAGTTGTAGACATAAATAGCAGTTGCACTGGTTGTGTGGTGATAAAAATTCTTTGCTATAAAAAAAGATTCAAGGTTTTACCTTTTTTTTTTTTAGCTACACTGCTGGCTCAGCAGTTTTACCACATGAAAAAAAAAACGCTCAGCCAATTTCCTACAACAATACATACAACAATATATAAATAAATGAAAATGCTGAAACTATCACCAATGCCATATTCATGTTCTGACTGTACAATGTCCCCATAGTATGATTTGTGATAGTTTTATGGCCTCTGGTCAAAAGGAGTCTCTGCTCATTAGTTATGAAGCTCCACCCCTTTTGCTGACAAGCGTGTGTGTAAAGCATCAACAGCCCCGCCCCCTTTACTGCAGTTGCCATAACAAACAATGTGGAATGCAGAAAGCAGGAAGTGGATTTTTTTCTTCTCCTGACATGTGTGCCAAATCGACAGTTTGTTGACACAGTTGGAAAATAAATGATGTTTAATTTAGGAAAAGTGAAGTGCAGTGGATGCTTTGAATGGATGATGTTAATGAAGATGAAATCCAGTGAATTTTTCATGTGAAGTGAAGACTTTACACAAAGCTATGTTCTTGCATGTTTGTGTGGCATTTTTGTAGTGATACTGGCTTAACCTGCTTTCACAGTCAGCCTGAAGCACTGCACATTTAGTCTGTCCATATAACCAAACACTGTTTTTCCTTTTTTTGTCCACAGAGCAGAGAAGACAGAAGTACTGAGTGACGACCTTCTTATGGTGAATATTTTGTCTTTCCATGACTTGATCCTGACTGTCACAACTATTAATGACTGCACAAATCACCCAGAATTCCAGTTTGAAGTCACCAGTGTTATTTTAGTATTATGTGTGTACTATTCAAGTTTTTATTATATGTTGGTCACTTTTTATTATTTTATTTTTTTTTTCTCACTATATTTAGGTTAGTTTTTGTTTGTACTTTAATATTTAGTATTCATTTTTATATTTTTAGTTCAGTTTTAGTTTTTATTTATTTCCCGTTAGTATATTTAGTGCTTCAGCTTATTGCTAACTTATTGCAGTTAGTTGCCAAGTTAACATTTCTAAATTTCATATTGTTTCATATTTTCATCTAATATTTATATTTTTTCAGCTTCATTTAAATTAAAATGTTTTAATAGTTTTATACTTGTAGTTAACAATAATAACCCTAAAAGTCATTAAAATTCTTATTTTATTAGCAAAATATATATTGTTGATCATTTTAGGCAATTAAGAATAACTTATTCCACCTTTAATAATTTGAGTATTATGGTTTATTTCATGGCTCTCTTGAATACTTGATTCTGATTCGGCTGTCAGATATTTTTGCATAATGATTTTAAACTATTTAATTAACCACTGTCCCTGACAATTATTTCCTAAATATGTAAGACATTTCATATCTCCCCACAGCCTTTTCCCCTTACATATCATTTATGCATCAGTATGTTAATATTTACATCTATTTATTTGTTTGTTTGTTTAGTAGTTGTTCAATAAGCAGGATAATGTACAGTAAACTGGTCAAAAAAGACTATATTTAGCAGACTAGCTGACCGTAGATGATCCTTTACATATCTTCTGTATGTATTCATATTAATCACAATATTGAACATGTATGAATGAATATTAAGGCATAACAAAGCAGATGTTGTGATCTAGTATGACTTTAGCTCTTATTTATTGTTAATCATGAGCGTCTCTTTTGCTTTCTGTTACACTCAGTGAGTATCTCCTTTACATTCATCTTCTTTCCCACAATCTCTCTTCTTTCACACTCCTCCTTGTTCCTTTTTTTTTTTTGCTTGTTGCAGATAACAGGAAAGCAACTGACTGTCTGAGACTAATTGATTTTAATATTTCTACCGCCACACATCCCATGTTTTCACGAGTATGAGTGGAACTACGGCTGTTATGAACAAAGGAAAGCCTAAAATAGCTTAAAAAGCACCAAGCCCTAGCAGCTTTATTGTGGCATATGTTGACTCTGGTAATTATGCATATAAATCTAAATATGTGCAATTTACTGCATGACACCCAAAGTCTTCCAAAGCAAACATTCACTCTAAAAAGAAAAACAAATCAGCCTAATCTGTCACTGCCTCATTGTTTAAAAAGTAGCTCATGTTGAAACATGCCCGTGCAAAACGCTGCACAGCTAACGGGAAATCATTGAAGCTCGACGGATTCTCGCCAGAGCTTTATATGCTGCTCCTTCACCTTCATTCATGCATTCCATGTTCAAGGGTCAAAGTTTAACTGCCTGATTGCTCTGCATCTTGCGCCGCCTCGGGTTTGCAGGAGGGAAAAGAAACATGATAATCGGCCATAAACTCCCTCTTGAAATGAGTCAGAAGGTCTTGAAGGTCTGCCAGGTTAAAAGGCAGCGGTGTTGGCAGACGGCCCCTGTTAGAGCTGCCCTGCCGCTGGTTTCTCTGATCGTGGTTGGAGTTTTTGTAAACCAGCGTTGAGGAGTAACACTGCCAGCTGAACAAAATTTTTCTGTAGCTGGTTTCAAAACAGGATAGCTTTCTTCTAGTAATGAGACACTTTTTCCAACCAACAAATTGTCACTAAATACTGTTATTTAAGTCACATTGCATTGCGTAGAACTGAAGCAATAATCATATACTCTCTTAAAATAGATTTTTGTATGTGTATGGTATCGAAAAGTCCCAATGATTTTAGTATGGATGATTCATGTAAATTAAATGAACACACACAGATTCATTTCATTGCAGATCAGGGTTTCTATAAACCTAGAACAAAAAAGTTACTTGAAATAAAATAAATGGTAACTGTAGTGCTGTCAAACGATTAATCGCGATTAATCACATCCAAAATAAAAGTTTTTGTTTACATAATATATGTGTGTGTACTGTATATATTTATTATGTATATATAAAGACACAAACATACAGTATATATTTTGAAAATATTTACATGTATGTATTTATATTCATATCATTTATATTATATATAAATATTTAATATATAAACATAGCATATTTTTCTTAAAGGGGTCATATGATGCTGCTAAAAAGAACATTATTTTGTGTATTTGGTGTAATGAAATGTGTTTATGCGGTTTAAAGTTAAAAAAACACATTATTTTCCACA